TGAAAACTTCACACAGACTGTGAGTTGGTTTTCCGTGTTCTCACTGCGGTCGTGGGCTACGAACAGTCGAAGCTAAGGAATTAGAAGTTAACCGGCAGCGAAGGCTGTTAAAGGTCAGGTAAGAGGTGGAATTCGCCAGATACGGTGCCGCGCTAGAAGATGAGCAAGGCGATGTCTCCACTGTCTGAACTTGCTGAGACGTCGAAAAGAAGCGACGAGTTTGTCACTTACTGCGCTGCGACTTTTACAAATCAACCGCCCATAAACTGTAAACTTGGTTTATCGTCAGTCTCCCCTATAACAGCAGTGAGTAATGCTATGGCGTCAGCTCTATGTCGTCTGACCGCAGAAGCCGGACTGCCCAGAGTAGAGATAAGCTGCTTTGAAGGACAAAAGGTGGATCGCTAGATATTCCCGAAATAATTTGAGCTTTATATAGAGTGCGAAGTGGGAGACGAAAGAAGACGTTTATTGTACCTTATACATATTGTAATGGACAGGTCAAAGAGGCTAATGGTGACTAATGCTAGCACCATGTTAGGGCTATATTAGAGCAGTGCCAATCAAGGACTTATTTGGACAAGCACATCACAATGCGAGAGCTTCAACACGAGGTTTGCTGCACGGCACGAGAGCTATTCCCAATAACGCCGAACCCTATAGGAATTAGCCATTAACATGGAAAATTGACACAACGCCCTGAAGCAAATCAATTATGAGGTTGACGTGAACCTGTTGACCACAATAGAGGAGATATTGCGTGCCTTACAGAAACCTCTGCAGTGTAGGTAGACCGAGCCTATCGACTAACTATCCCTGAGCGGTCACAAGCCGAATTTTTTGAATCTGACCGAATTGGTGTCTACTCGTGCTCGCATAGCCCGTAGCCGATTTAGACAATTAGCCGACAAAGCAGTCCGCAACTCTGAAATGGCACGTACGAGAAATCCTCCAGAAAAGGAATGTCCCGCTGCAGTTACTCTTTTCGATGGGCAAGAAAATATTTCGTGGACATCCAGAACTCACTCGTGCTTAATCTGACCAGGTAACCAGTGTCACGGATTGTAATAACGTTAGAGCGCTGGGCCTGTCGCAGCGATGGGAAATACTGATAGCAAAATGGCTATGCTTCGGTTATCTGATGCCACGCCACCTCGTCAAAAAGTGCAATATTCAAAAGGCTTACCACATGTTCAATTGCAACTCTCGTCATCAAGGCATGCTTCACGATGGCAGCTCCTTCGCTCCGGGTCACGCAGTAGCAGTAGGACAGGAATGCTGTGGAGCCAACGGTGCGAAATTTCCTTGTGTGGCTCTGAGTGTTCTTCCAGTTACCGTTGTTGGACCATCCAGATCAATGGATACATACGCCCTTCTCGGACGCAACCCTGATCCGCCAGAATCTCGTCAATCGCCTAGGACTGGATCCCTCGCCATCATCAATGACGATTACTACGAACAACGGCAATCGTACTTTTGATGGCTCAGTGGTGAGATTTTACATTCACTCGCTAAGCGACCTATAGGAATTGAAGGTGGAGAGCGTGTTCGGTGTATCTGGCTTATCAATTCAGGCATCCGGCTATGGAGTGCAAACGGAGGTGTACAGGTGGCCTCATCTAGCTGAAGTTAGCTTGGATAAACTAGCGGACAAGTGAATCTCATTATTATTTGGCAGCGATGTGTCCGAAGCCCACTGGGTTTTAGACCAACGAATGGGAAGTCAGAAGTAATCCTATGCTATCAAAACTGTGTTTGGATTGATCTTGATTGGTCCACTGAGAACTGCTGTGCATGAAAGTGACTCTGTCGACCGTATTATCTCAGCGGCCAGCTCCACAGTTAGTCAAATGCAGGAGTTGGAAAACACGATTTTCATATGTAGAAACTTGGATGACGCGTCGGTAGCGGCCGAAGTTGAAGATTGGACCCACTTGGTGCACGGACATTACGCTGTTCCGCTCCCTTGACGAGACCGGAACGCGCTAGTACCCGGTAATAGACCTATGGCAGAGGAGATTGTCTTTGTTGTGGTGACGCCTCTTTCGTGACTCCGAATTTTTCTCCAAGTATACTGAGGCCGTGAACACTATGCTGAGCAAGGGGTTTGCATTTAGGGTCCCTGCACACATGTTGATAGAGCATGGCGCTCTCTGCTGATACGTACCACATCATGCGGTGATAAGTCTTAAGAAACCAGAAAAACTTTGGGTGATTCTTGACTGCGCCGCGAAGTTTCGCGGGCTGTCCATGAATGCGTAATTGTACCAAGGCTCTGCTGTCACAGCTGACTTGACCAAAATATTTGTGCGATTCCGAAAGGATTTAGTAGCATTACATCTGACGTAGAGAAAATGTACATGCAAGTGAGAGTACCCGAGAGCGACCGAGGAGCGCTACGATTGCTTTGGTGGCTCGAAAACGACCTGTTTGAAGGATTCTGTGGACTATCGAATCAGTGTTCATCCATTTGGAGCGGCCTCTTCACCGGTTTGTGTCGCTTTACTCTTAGCAAAACCATAACTGACTTCGATCATTCGTACAGTACCACCGTGACAGAAGCCGTGCTAAACAGTTTCCATGCGGATAACTGCCTGATATCCCTGAGCACGGTAGAGGAAGTAGCTGTTCGTTCATGACATCACTTGTTGACCTGTAAAAAGAGGACTTAGGTTTCGGAAATGGGTATCAAATAAGCCTGAAGCGATTAAGTCAGTATTGTCTTCCAGATGGACCGGTACTCCAAAGCAGATCGGCGCTGGACCACACAACAGCGAACGCATGTTGCATCTCGAAAGTGACGTTAAACAGATCAATTTTGATCTCAGTTCAGCTTCAGATGCTGCCCGGAGACCAGACGCGGCATTCAGTCGAAGATGTCATCATTGTTCGATCGCCTCGGATTAGTGTGCCTGTTTATTTAGCCGAGCAAAATGCTTCTGTAGCGGTTGCGTACAAAGGGATTGGGATGGGATGAACCTCATCAGCCGTTAGATGACGAGGAGTGGGAAAATGGATTAATCACACGAATTCTATCGACTTAATTTCATTCCCTCACTGCGTCACATGAAGCCGGGAAGCTTACCCCATGGGTGTGTTCAGTGATGCCACAGAAAATGCTATGACAGGGTGCGTATGACGAGGTCCGGTCAGCCTTACTGCACTCTCGTAGTTGTGAAGTCCAGAGTCGTCCCAATGAAATCAATTCGCTTACCACGTTTGGAGCTGGGTACCGTAGTTCTGGCAGTAAAATCCTCAATCAGCTGCGTTCTGAAGGCTTGTGGCTAAGTCTACAGCACACAAGGTATTGGACGAACTCACAAATGATGCTACACTACATCTATAACTGATCGACAGGCTTCAGTATTTTTGTAGCTAACTGGATTGTTGTCATACACCAGTTGTCTGATCCCACAATAGATCCAAAGATAACGCAGCTGTAGTGACATCGAGGGGGATCCTGTAGTTAAAAGAATGGAAGACGTGGTTGCAAGGACCGGACTTTCTCGTTCAAGACGAATGCTCGTGGATAGTCAAGTACATCCCAACCAACAGCGTTATTGATGTGGAATTAAAAAGACAAAGAATCTTTGTAAATACCAATTCAACAACACATATAACGAATACATTGCCGGTGTATTTCTCAAATTGAGTAAATTTGACAAAAGCGGTGACATGTTTGGTTTGTTTTAAATACTGGTTTCCGTCACCGCACACAGCGCGCCCAGCATGCTTCAAAGGCCCGTTGTCAGTGGTCAAAATCGAAGGCGCCAGTAAAAATGTGCTCCGTATGATGAAGCATGAGACATATGCCAACGTGGGAGGACGTTTCAATTACACAGATAATGAGGAGGGTGTGCAGCACCAGTTCAGTTTACACAGCAGCCACCTGATCGTCCACGCGCTGATACGCCATTATCACGTTTGAGAAGGGTACTGTGGAACATCACCATGATACACGTTAGCTGCAGGTGCAAAACACCTCACCTATTGTACCGCACATCGTGGAACACAGCACTTGCTATGCACCCCCCCCGGCACCAATCACCGGATAGTGCATGGCGCTGAGGCAGCGAAGCGAATCATCGGAGGATGCATCGTTTGCCGCAGACAAGCGGCCACATCATATCAATAATAGATGGAGATTGGTTGGTCTCCGTACAAGAAGGTTAGTGTAGACTAGTTTGGCCTCATTGTTGTAAGGCGAGGAAGGATTGGGGAAAAGCGAGCTGGCTGCATATTCACTTGTTTGCAATCCAGAGCAGTTCACCTGGCAGCGACTTACGATCCATTGGCTGATGCGTTTAGTACAGCTCGCAACCGTTTCGTCGGTAGGCGTGGCAGTCCTTCGGACATCTACAGCGAAGGACGGAACGAATTTCACTGGCTTGGTTAGGGAGCTACAAGAGTGCGCTAAAAAAATAACGTCAAAGGAAAATCGACAGATAGTTACTTGTACGTGGTGTTCAGCGGCATCTTAACCCCTTACTTGCAAGTCACAGGGGTGGTGTGTGAGAGCGAATGATCCGTTTGGTGAGGAGATTAATGAACAGCATGTGCAACGAGCAACGTCTGACTCCGTTGACACACGGTTGATCGAGGTAGAATGAATTCTAAACAGTCAACCACTAATCCCACCGACCTCCGTCAGTCAAAACGCGCCATCACCAGTGCCCAAGATTTTTGACACGATGTGCAATTATGGAGTTGCTTAACATCGACATAAGAGAGATATGTACTAAGCACTGGAAGCAAGCAACTAAGGTAGCCAGGCTGTTTTTGGAAGAGACCGCCGAAAATAGATACACAACAACTTTACAATGGCGACAGAGGTGGAGTCCAGGAAAATCATAGAACTTGATAAACTGGTATTGCTGAGATTCGAGAAACTACCACGCGGATGTCGACCGTTGGCCCGAGCAGTCAGCTGTGAAACTAGCGAAGATGGTTTAGTAAGGACAGTTTCCGTAAAGACAATCTCGGGTGTATTACGTAGAAAAACTAGAAGGGTATGCAGCCTGGGGGTGGCGGATAATGGTACTTCAATCTAGACAGGAGTATAGGGCGGTAGTCAAAGAAAAAAACGGTATCTGCTAACGCAGCCCGACGCTGGTAGACGCCCACAAGATACGATTGGTGGTGGTCAAGAAAAACGGATTTAGCTAAGACGTATCTGTCTGGTCTGTACTGTTCCCCAGAGTATTACTACTAGTGACCCCTGTAGCCAATATTAGCGAAGAAGAGAGCCAGAGTGGTGCTATTGATGTTTAAGATGTCAGTCGCAGGAGAGATCTAGAGGCCGGTGTAGCGGAGTCTGGATTTACATGTGAAATTCTCCAAACCCAAAATCGCCCTTCATACTGCCGCTACCCAGACCGTCGATGTGTGTGACCCTTTGTGTGACCATCGCGGCGAGACTGCACCTTAAAGTGGTGCAATAGTTTGCGTGCCTCAGTTATCCACTGAGCCACACCTTCAGAGCCACCCACACCAGATTGGTCAATAGTTAGAGGCTAAACAAACTCAGCTCCTAGTCTTCCAGGTTGGGGGTTGGAGTGAGGATGGCTACTTCATAAAACGGACTCTGCAGCCCAGCGCCAAAACCCCGCTGCATTGAGGTTCTTGAACCAAAGGGGTTGGTTTAGGATGCAAATCGTTGTCCTGTTTAAGCCTGGGCAACGTGACAGCAATCTGCCCAGGTAGTACAATGACATCAGCTTCAAACAATGTCTTGACGCTCTGGCCACCGCAGAGAATAATCGACGATGCATAATCTGATGCATCTAGCGGGGTGGATAGGGGTTTGGATGCCAATGCTCAAGTCTTGCCGTCTATTTATTCCTTCTCCTTGCGCAGTTCATTCTCATAGTCCCTTCTAACATAACTTTAACCCCACTGTTTAAGACTCCGCAATTATTGGTCCTTCCTCATCCTGCTTCAATGGTCGCTTGTCCTCTGACTCCGACACACGCAATTACAGGGTGTCGCTCCAGTAAAGTTGACAAGTCCATGTTCAACCGGACGGACGACGTCAGTTTACCTGTTCCTCATTGGAGTCCTCGATCTACGCTAAGACTTGCATGTCTTAACGTGCGTAGTTTGTGGCAGATTGGCCAAGGTGCAGCACAGAGACCCTATCTGCTGTTTATTGGAAACCCACCTGCAAGAGTTGAGTCCCGGGATTACCTGCGACCAACCACAAGCGACAATAGCGGCACTTTCTTATTGCTTTTCTATAGAGATAAAGCAACTTCAAATATTGATCAACACGGTGAAGTTACTGCTCTGAGTAACCGGGTCGAAGCTGCTCGGGTTCTTAGATCCCAAACAACAGCCGGAATTGTGCCGTTCGACCGGATGGCTCGTCCAAAAATCGAGGTCGCGCGAGCACAAACGGTGCTTATTTGTCATTGCTGCAAACGCGCCCACAAACTGTTAGCAATATCATCATCAATACACGTTACATGAGGTTGGGAGACACTTTAACTAATGTGCCGCAATACAAAAATGATAAGAGATTAAGCAATACAGTGTAAAAAGTTATAAAAAACCATCATAATTCCAAATATCACATGATGCATAAGGTTTGAGATCGCTGTTGAAGGGGGGACATAGGCGGGGTGGGGAAGGTCAAAGAAATTCATAACGAAACACCATTGTGGTGAGCTGCTTGCCATGTAAACCAGTATATCCAGCCAGACGTGGTCATCGTCCATCGGTTCTCAGCCGCGCAGTCGGGAACAAGCAACTGACGCCGACTTCGAAGTGAGGGTCTTCATTCCTCTTGACAAAATCATTTCATGGCTTTCTCACCTTCTCTTCCATCCATACCTATGGGGCGCATACACAACGCACGTCGCATCACCGGTGTTCAGCCATGCACCACACGTGGACTAGAAATCGGAGTCTGGTACGCGATATAATAGTCCTGAGCGGTTCACTCGGTCTTTCTGCACCAAACACGAGAAGCAGAACACGCTCAGTGCTCACGCGTTGTGTACACCAGACATGACCTAAGCTGCGAAGGAAGCGATAATCGAACGTAACAAACGTCTTAGTGTCTTTGGACTTGATGGGCCAGTTTTCGCAACCATACAGGAAGGTTGAATGGACAGCTGCATTGTAAGTTATGCGCTTTAGAACGAGTGATGTCGCGCCGGCACCATACGTGGCGGAGAATGGCAAAAGTGCCTCGAGCTCTCCCTTTGCGGTGTGTGATCTCATCCTCCATTCAACTGGCTCTGATAACTGCTTAAATATCTGAACTTCTCGATTTCTAGCTGATCAACACCAATGGTCAGCGCAGGGGTAGATCCCCGTTAATCCTGGAGAGGGACTACATTTCGAGATAGCAAATCAAAGCCCGAAACGATTGACAGCCAATGCTAATTTGTCTAGTGATACTTGGCCCATTTGTTAGCTGTCAAATATGACGGCAATGTCGTCGACATCCTCAAAGTCAAGAAGTCAATGACTGTGAGCAGCTGCACTCCTCAAGGTACGTGTCCAGTGAACGCAGTCTCCACGACCTCGTCGATGGAGAAGTTAAAGGGGAAACATGACAGCGGGCAAGCTTGTTTCAAACCGCTGGAGGTATTGAAGAGCAGCTAAGGCTTGCCGTAAGCCCTTACTGTTCCCTGACTAGTCGCGTACACTACTCTGATAATGTTTACGTATTTTTCGGGCACAACTGCTGAGTAGACAGTTTTAAAGGACATATCTATCCGCTAATTCAAAGACAAGCCAAATATCGAGGAATACGATCACAGTGGGTCACCAATAAACACGGTGGTGCTCTAACAGCTGACGTAAAGCGAATATGCGGTCAATGCAGCCTCGATTTCGACGAAACCCGGTTTGCTCTTTGCGCATCTGGCTCTCGCGGGTGCCAGTCAGTCTAGGTAGGACGACAGAAGCAAGTAAGTTAGAGGCAATAGAGATTAGATTGATTCCTCTACGAGTGCCGCATTCTGAACGGGAGCCACCCTTGAGAAATGTAACTATAACTGAGTGACCCTAGTTTATTGGAACAGTGTCCTGCTCCCATAGATTCACGAACTTAGGTAAGTCGTCCAAAAGAGCAGGTCCCCCCAAGTTGAAGAGACGTAGATGAAGTTCATCTGCTCCAGTAACTTTGTACATTTCCAACAGTCATCTCAAGTTCAATTTCCGCGCGTTATGGCGGATCTAGGTAGACGGCCTAGAGAATAGGTACTCACTGGTCGATGAAGAAGCAGGCAATAATAACCGATTAAACTGCTTCTCATGGTGTTCGGAAAAAATTTGAAACGTTTTGACAAGTTTTGGATCGGCTGTCCACTCTTGTTGCACATGGTCTCACTAACACCAGGTCACCTACTGTCTGTTACACGTATTAAACGGAATAACTTCCGATGGTTACCAAGGGCAGCGGCTGTCTCCATCTCCTAGGAACGAGGAGACCACCAGGCTTCGCGGTCTGTCTTCAGGCTAGCACGCAGTTTCGCCTTAAGAACATTGTGAGTCGCATTGTATTCGCTTTCAGCCTGAACACGTCGGCGAGCACCCGGAAGCTCGAGAAATTGCGTAGAGAACCAATTTCCAAGTTAGCAATTTGATTTGCCACATGAAGACATGCCTGTTGCTAATAACGTCTGGTGGATGTGCGACCAGTGGTTTTCAACTGTGTTCATTGAGTGCTTACTCAGGTCAGATGCTAGCGTACTTTAATTCGTATTCAGAACATCTGGCTTCGCCAGTGGACAAGTATCTATGCGCTCATAGCGCATTTGCGGACGTCCGCCGAAACGCACCCGGAGGTCAGCACAAACAAGTGCGTGGTGAGAGCCCACGCTAGTGCTTCAAAGCTGGATACAGTTTTGGGTATAGCTTCTCCAGCGGTAGCTGATTGCGGTGTGATCGATTTGTGTCAATAGCTGGTCCAAGGCTGGTGTTCACCAGGCCACCCTACTGCGGGGGAGGTATCGAAGTTAGTGCTCACAAGAAAGAGAGGAGCACCATCCCACAGGTGCATCAACGGCTCACCGTTAGCATTACGGGGGCCTACACCGTGTTGACCACCCAGATGAAGGTCTTTAGTGGACAGATTTCCAACTTGGGCGCAAATATCACAGTATCCGTCTATTTTCTGTAACGAAGAAGCGAGTTCAATTAGTGATAGAAGATATTTTTCACCGAGTAACGACATAATTTGTGGATGCGTAGGGCACAACGACAAACAAGCGACCGAAACTTTCAACGAGCCAACCAATCTGACAGCGCACATCCGGCTGTTCAATGAGATCCAATCGATCAGGGCAACTTCAGTCCGGGGGCTAAGAGCAATACTCACAACGGTTTGACCGGCATTTGAAGCC